AGTCGCATAGGTAAGTTTAGGATAATGCCCCAGGGGAAGCCCATTCTGTAGGAACATACCCGAAATACTTAGGATTCGTGGCCTCCTGGGGCCTCCTGGGCTCCTGGGGCCTCCTGTGGCTTCCTGCAGGGGCGTCCTGAAGCCTCCTGGGGCCTCTTGGAAACTCTTGGAGCCTCCTGGGGCCACCTGGAGTTTACGGGTGCCTCCTGGGACTTCCTGGTGCCTCCTGGAGCCACCTGGGGCCTCCTGGGGAGGTTTCGTGCCGCGTCCGAGACAAGCAAATCACTCGAGATATCCACTCAATCTGGCGCGAACGGAGGAATGCAAAACCCTCTGGCGCCCCCCCTGGGGTGCGAAAGCCAGCTCCTCGCCCGAGGCATCGTCAAAATCTGATCCGAAAGCGGAGGATGCTGGGGTCGTCAACAAGCAAACCTCTCGAGGCATCTCCGCAATCTGGGCACGAACGGGGGAAAACAATACCCGCATGGCGGCCCCCTCTTGGGGTGCTGAAACCAGCGCCTTGCCCGAGACATCGTCAAAATTTGCTCCGAAAGCGGAGAAAGGCGAGGGCGCAAACATGCAAACCACTCGAGACATCCCCGCAAGCTGGGCGCGAACGGGGGAGGGCAATACTCCCTGGCTGTCCTACCCAGAGGCCGAGTGGGCCCTGGAAACGACAGGTCCGATTTTCCATCGATTCCGTTTTGCAGATGTTGGCCGGTTCCGACGCCGTTTGTTTACCGGTTCGTCGCAGTTGATCTACCGGTGCCAGCTCTGGTTCCAATCCCGGAGCCGTGTTTTTGCCGTTCCCATGTTCAATAGAGTCTATTGAACATCAATGAAATCACTTTCGCCCTTGCCCCCTGGTGTCTGTTTTAGCTATCGCGAAACGGGCGTGAGGAACCCGAATGGGGACCCCCGTCTAGGGAAATCTAGAGGGGTAGGGGTGGGGGGCTTAATTTTTTTGATGATAGACACTGTTTCGGAAACGGTGGAAAAACTGCTCTGCCGTTTCTGGGGTCCACTAAGCTCAGGGGTGCTGACACCAACGCCTCGCCCGAGACGTCGTCAAAACCTGCTCCGAACGCGGAGAACGTCGGGGGCGCAAGCAGGCAAACCGCTCGAGGCATCCCCGCAATCTTGGCGCTAGTGGCGGAGTGCAACACCCCCTGGCGCCCCCCCCCCCTGGAGTGCGAAAACCAGCTCCTCGCCCGAGACATCCTCAGAACCTGCTCCGAAAGCGGAAGCTTGGGCAAACGAACAGGCAAACCGAGCGAGCCATCCCTGCAATTTGGGCGCGAACGGGGTAGTGCAGCACCCGCATGGCGGCCCCCGTGGGGGTGCTGAAACCAGCGCCTCGCCAAAAGCATCCTTAAATTCTGTTCCGAAAGGAGAGGGTGTTGTGGCGGCATGATCACCATCACCATCACCATCACCATCATCATCATCATATCATCATCATCAGTATCATCATCATCATCATCATCATCATCAGCAGCAGCAGCAGCAGCATCATCAACTCCTCTTCCTCCTCATCGTCATCGTCAGCATCAGCTTCAGCAAAGAACATCGGCATGATCATCAGTATCATCATTAGTTACAATCATCAGCACAAGCATCATCACCACCACCACCATCATCATCATCATCATCAGCAGCATCATCATTAACATCATCATCATTAACAGCATCATCATAATCAGCAGCATAATCAGCATCGTTATCGTCGTCGGTATCGTCATCGTCGTCGGCATCATTGTTGTCATCATCATGAACCGATTCATCCTACTCATCAACAACATCACGATCATCATCACCATCATCATAAACATCATCATCAACATCACCATCACCATCACCATCATCATCAGCACCAGCACCAGTACATCATCAGCATCAGCATCAGCATCACTAGGATCACCACCATCATCATCATCATCATCATCATCATCATCATCAACAATAACATCAACATGATCATAATAATAATCACCATAATCATCATCATCATCATCATCACCATCATCATCAACACCATCATCATCATCATCCTCATCATCATCAACGTTGGGGTTCTCGTGCTCGGCGCGGTCGAACAAGAACCCCATCATTAGGATATGGAAATAGACCAGGGGGGCCCATCCGATGACACCGTGTTGTTCCCTGCCTGGTGTTCCATCCCTCAGGCAGGGCCCGCATGGGCCCGCTGACAGGGCACCCCCGAAAAACATGGGAGGAAGAGGAGGAGGAGGAGAGGAGGAGGAGGAGGAGGAGGAGGAGGAGGAGGAGGAGGAGGAGGAAGACGACAAGGAGGAGTAGTCCAGACCGTTCGATCGTCCTCACTTTATTCCTTTGCCTTTCTATTTCCCTCCCCCCGGCGATGGCTTGGAGGAGGGGCAACGAGGACGCCACCCAGAAGAACTAGGGAGAACCGTCCGCAGCGTTAGCCTCAGGATGAGGCGCAGGGCTCGCGACGAGGGCATCGTCGGATTTGCACTTGCGCATTCTACACGGCAGCGGCGCTGCCAGCTCCTGCTCGGTAAGACTGGGCTCCGGCAGCCCATCGCACCATAAGCGCCTGCGTCGGCAGCCTGGCCTTCAGCGCTGAAGGCAGCAACGCTGGGCCCAATCCCAGCCTGCAGCCGACCGCAGAGAGGCGACAGCGCTTGCTGCTACGTCCCGCCCCTGTCACGACCGCTGGCCGCAGCGCCATATGTGATGGCGTCGGGCTTCTCCCATGCCCCTTTGTCACATGTCGCTAAGGGGGGCGAGAGAGCCTGAGGCCACTGCTCGCCGTTGTCGTAAACACTCGCTCCAAAGAGGTAGCTGTTGCCGCCGAGCTCCAAACTCGCCTCCCATGCCTCGATGAGCAGCGCCCGCTTCCGAAAACACTTCTGCCAACTCTCGCACGCGCTAGCCACAACGCTGTAGCTGACCAGGGCCAACCTGCGGACAAACGTCCACCAACGCATACTTCAGCAAAACCAAGGCAGTGAAAATGGAAGGGGTGTGTGAGACATGGGGCGCTGGTGGCACCGCCGTTGAACAGCGCTGAGGCCCTGTTGATGCTTGTGTGGAGGACACATGAGAGCATGGCCACAACACAGGAGTAACAGCTGGCGGGAATGGCCCAGGACACATCAGGAGGCAACGCAAGCAATCGATACATTCGATGTTGTTGATGCCATCTAACTGCTTTATGAGACGAAAAGCAATTTACAATGCAACCGTCGTAGAATCGCGGCGCCAATAGGTAGGACGGGTTGGTGTGAAACTCTGGTTGGACGACTGTTACACTATGCACAGATTGACTCCGCTGGCGGGGCAGCGGTAAAACGTGGTGGGCGAAGGGACAGCAAAATAGACCTGTGGGTCCCAGAGCGTCGAGAGCCGGTCCCATGCGCCACAAAATATGTGCTCGGGAGGCCCACTGGGCACAGAACAATTACGAACGTGTAAGGGCACCCTCCCACGAGCTTGCCCTTGCGACAACTTCCGATGTGCAGCTGTGCATATCCTCCTAGGCCTGTGGACGCAACATTTGGAACCTTATCCTGGGGCCCTCTTGCGACACTTGGGGGGGCCCACGTGAATTCTCACACCGCTCGCAGGACCAGCACTGGAGCACGCAAGAAAGCGCATGAGCGGAGCGGTTCAGTGGGAACCCACATGCATCCGGGGCCTTCCCCGGAAGAACCAGGCCAGCGCCCCTGGAGGCTCACAGAGAACAGCACCATACGGACGCGAAGGCACACTCCAACGACCATGCAGTTGTCACACTGCTGTCCTGCCCCTTGTCACATTCTGTATCCCCCTGAAGGCAATCTTGGGACCGTCCTGGAGCCTTCTTTGGGCCCTCTTGGGGCTCCCTACGGACCCTCCCGGATGACCAAGGCGGTCCTGGAACTGGTTGGACAGGGGCGCATGGACGGGAGACACAAGGGGAGACAGAGCAATCAAAACCTGCTTAACAAATTAAGTGCTTCCAATGTTATGTGTGCTCCCACGGCATGCAACGCAACGCCCATCCTGGGAGCCCGTTGGCGAAGTCGACGCCATGGAGCAACGCCACAGCACGAAAATGTCGCGAGGGTGCGATCACAATACTAAGCATTTCCAAGCCCTCTTGTTTTGTTGGGTCCTCGCTTCCTCTCCGCAGCGCCGCTACCCTCCTCCTCCTCCTCCTCCTCCTCCTCCTCCTCCTCCTCCTCCTCTGTCACTGTGCCTTCCCCCCCTCGTCCGCTTCACTCTCTGCCTCTGCTCTCCGCCCTACGGACCCAGCAGGACCATTCCGCCTGGGGACGTCGCGCCCGTGTCGGCAAACTTCTCACCAGATCGTGTCCCACACGGAACTCAACCTACGGCCTCAGTCGGATCGTGCCGCATGGGGAGCTCAACCCACGGATTCAGTGGGCAAATTCGCCTGGCGGCGCCGCGCCCATGGCGGCGCCCCGCCCATGTCGGCAAACCTCTCACGTTGATCATGAATCACAGGAACACCCCTGCCGCCGCAGTGGGCCAGTTTGCCTGGCGTAGACACTGAATACTGTAGATACTCTTTCAGAAGCCCAGGGCCCAGAGATCCAAGCATTCTCGGTCGCTCGCGGGCGCTCTTGAAGATCGTCGCATGACTTCTCCACAGGCAGAGAACGTCTTGTTGTTATGATATAGATGTGTTTGGGGAATGCTTTCGGCCCTGGAGGAGGAACCCAAACTGGCCACAAAAACCCTCTTGTGCCAAGATGGCCCCCGAGACCACACAGAGACTCCCAAGACCCCAGCCTCTCATAGGGCAGGTTACAGAAGGAGGCAGTGCAGTGGACGTCCTTTTCCTCCTCTTCCTCCTCCCGACGCCGTCGACGGCATCGACGAAGGCGGCGGCCGCCGCCACCGCCGCCGTCGCCGCCGCCATCTCCGCCGCCGTCGCCGCCACCGTCGCGGCCGCTGTCGCCACCATCGTCGTCGTCGTCGCCGTCCGGGTCGACGACGGGGGTTCAAGCCTCTTCTGGCCTCGTCTTTCCAGCCGCGCCAACAGTCCTCGCAGTACCACAGCTCGGCGTGGGCCGTGCCCGCGTGGCCCATCTGGCCACGCTTCCCCTCCTCGGGGAGGTTGGAGGGGAAGAGGAGGTTCATCGTTTTCGGAGTTGGCCTCGTCGTCGCCGCTATCATCCTCCTTTTCGTCCTTATGTTTTGCTAGTTGTACCGTCGTAGAACCCTCTAACCATCGGAAGGGCCGACCTGGCTTAAACTACGCCGACACATCGTCACCCCCGTGCAACTTCGCCACATTCGCCCGCACGACACCAAGCGAAACCGAGACCGGTGTCCTGGTTGGGAGTCTCCGTTCTCCCCCCACCAACCTCCGACACACGCGCTGCGAATGGTCTGATGCGCTATGCCAGGCTATGCCGCTCTCACTGGCACGATAAGAAACTAATGTACGATGTGCTGCGCGTGATATGTTTTTTTGGTGGGGGTTGCAAGTTCGACCCTCGCAACCAAAAAGAGCTAGAAACACGCACGGGACATCATGCAACCCCCCCAAACGATGGGATATGATCCCTCACTTTTTCCTCCACTCCCTCCTGCTCCTCCTGCCTGGAGTCGAGTCTCCGGGAAACGGGCATTACGAGCCCGCAAGCAGCACACAGGAGACACGCACGCGTACGCGCGCGAGAGAAAGACGCATGATCTATTCCCCTTGAGCTTGTCACTGCCCTGCAGCCAGGCAGCGAACTCCTCATAGTCGAAGAGGCCGTCGCCGTTCGCGCCCACACTCGTCATCACCTTGTCGAACTCTTACTTGGTGAAAGAGGGGTTCAGCATCACCAAGACCCGCTCGAACTCCTGTTTGGAGATGGTGCCGTCGCCATCCTGGTCCCACCGTCGCCTTGGTGGGGGCGCCGCCCAGCGAGGAAGCCCGGCGCGACGGCGGCCCGGCAATGACAATCACGGACAAGCAGACGGGCGGGCACCGTTGCGGGCCCCAGAAGAGGAAGAGGGAGGAGTACCGTTGCGGGTCCTGCAGGACGATGAGGAACCACCGTTGCGGGCCCCAGACACAGTAGAAGAAGAAGAAGAAGAAGAAGAAAAACGGCCCGGACGACTGACATCCGATACGGCAGCAACAGCGAGGCCTAGGCACGGGCGCTTCCAAGCGCGGCTGAGCTCGTGCGCGTCGACCACACGGTCACAGAGGAAGCACTCCCACCACGCATTCTGCGTGTTGAAGCCGAACACGTGGCAGCCAAAAGCAGCTGACAATCGATTGCGGCTCAGGCAGCCAGCCCAGAAATGGAGCCGGGTCCTGGCCTGGAGCCGGCCCGCATCATCGAAAGCGATGCCGCGACGAGCCGAGCCTGCTTGGCAGGCTGGCCGGCTGCGCGCGACGGATTCAGGTACGTGAGCGCGCCGTCGTCCGTCAGCGTATAGATGGTGCAGTCCCCTTGGGCCAGTGCACGTTTAGCGGCAACGAGCTGGGCGCGGCCCTCCTGAGTGGCGGAGATCTCGAGGTCGGCCTGCTCCAAAGCGCTCCGGGCGCTGCCGTGCAGCACCAGACACTCGCTGAGAGGATCGGCGCCAATGGCGCGCTCCTCGACGTCAATCAGAGGAGCTCCGCCTAGGGCAATCGTGAAAACATAATCCATCTGAAGCTTGCTCTTGCGGACTGCAGGGTCCCGGAAGAACGTCTCAAGCTAAGTGCTCAGGGCACGGGAATGCATCTGCGGCCGCATGGACAGGGCGCGCGTGGGCGACTCCTGCGCGCAGCCGAACATGCGCCACGAGCTGGCGAAGCAGCGGGAAGGCGCCGCGATGCCCGCGCCGTGCTGCTCCAGTACCTTGATCATCGCCTGCACGAGCATGGCCTTTTCCTGGAGCGTCTGGCTCAGGACGGCGGCCGACGCGTGCAAATCGGGCAGCAACCACTTGCCCGGGCCGAATTTCACAGGGAAGCGCGTCTGCGTTTGGATATCGTAGAAGATCGCCAGCTCCACGATGCACACGCTGCCGTAGGCCTCGCGGGGAGGAGCATCGCAGCGATCGGGCCACACGAGTTCGCCACCATTTGAGGAAGCGATCGTAGAACAGCTGGCCGTGCACCAGCTGCTTGCCAGACACCGCCGGGGGGAGAAAAACATGCTCGTTACGCCACGGGGTGGCGAAATGGGCGACGCCCCAAACCAGCGGATGCTGTGGCGGCAGGTCGACGGATTCGCCGTCGGCGTCAAGGGCCGAGCCGCCGGGGGCGTCGTCGCCTTGGACCGGGTCATCTCCGCTGCGCGCGTCGAGCATGCGGCGTTGCACCGCGAGCTGGAAACACTGGACACGGCACGCCAGGGCCGCGACTCGCTGCACCTCGGCACGAGCAACATCACGGGCGCATTTGTGCGCGGAGCGGCCCCGCTTGGCGGCAGCGTCGGCTCTATCGTTCCCGTCCCAAAGGTAGGCGTCCATTACCGTCCGGGCGTCACTGCGTTCTGTATGAGCCTTGATCTACATCACCACCACGCGCCTGGCAGGGTGGGCGCGGAGGGCGTCGTCAAACTGCAGCCACAAGTCGCCGTTAGGCCGAGCAGCGTAGCATCCTGGCAGGCCGCGGCCTGCAATTGCGACACGGGCCCGGGCCCCGTCGACCACAGACGTGTTGTCGATCCAGACACGGAATGCATGATCCAGGAACAAGCTCAGAAGAAGTGACCCTTTGAACGAGACCTGGTAGAGGAGAGTACCAACGGTGCCAACGTACTGAGCCGTCCGCCTCGCACATGTGGAAAACCATCCCACTGCCGGCCACGCGCCAACGAGCGTCAGCGGCAGGATCGGCGGAGCCGTCGCTGAAGAAATTCGTGTGCCCGTCGTCGTCGGCATGCAAGCGCAGAGCGAGCCAGTCTGGCGGCGCCGTGGGAGCGCAACTTTCGAGGTGCGCCCAAAAAACTCGCTCCGCAGCAGTAGCCTGAACAATGCCAAACGTGGCGAGGGCATCGTCAACCTGAGCTGGGTCTGCAATCTCTGCGATGTCCGCCCTCTCCACACTGTGCAAAACACATCGTCGATACCTGTGGGAAAGGGTTTTCAACCTCGGCACCACAAGGACACACGGCATCAACCTCGTCACCGGCGATCTTCGCGAAGTCCTTCTGCGCGTAGACGAGCCCGGTGAGGCGCGCAAAGAGCGTCCCGGCAGCCAGGTCCCCAAGATCACGACTGTAGTCCAACGTGGTGGCCACGTCGATGCGCCCCAAGTTGGCCAGCTCTGGGCGGGCAGCAGCGGCGCGTCGGGGATGCGTAGTCCGTGGTGGCCTCGGCGATGAGGCACTCGACCTCCCGGCGGCAGCAGGCCAGCAACTGGCCGCGCGCCCAGCCAGAGGGGTCCGCCAGGCGCCACCCCTCCCCCAGAGTCCAACCTGCGTCCGACCAAGTTTCCCGGAGGAGCTGGATCGGCAGAGCGTCGGGGGGCGATTGGGCAGCAACGCGCACAATCAGAATCCTTGCGGCTCTCTCTGCCGCGCCCTGGCCGGCCTGGGAGAGAAAACTCCGCAAGCCCAGCGTGCGGCGGCAAAGAAGGATACCGAAAATCGAAGTCTTGGTGAAGCTTTTGACGCCACCCCCAAACAAGCAGGTAAGATCAGGATTGCGCTTCGTCGTCTTGCCCTTGCGGGGCTTCAACACAGCAGACAAGCAGGACGTGAGAGTGCACGCAATAGTACGCTTGGAAACGCGTGACGCCTCAGCACCCCGGACAGCAGGCTGCAAGGCACCAGGGGCGATCATGGCAACCTTTTTGGCCCGCGGAATGGACGAAATCCCTAAACGATGCAAGAAATCTTTGGCCCTGTGGGCTCGTTCAACCATCGTCGGCGCCTCGCGGGCACGGCCGTAATTTAAATGAGCACCAAGTTCACGCGCGTGGCTCTTGTGAAGGACCACGGTGCCATTGGCAGCCGTGTACTGGGCGTCCTTCCGCGCACTCTTGCCAGCAGCCCCAGCAGGGCCAAAAGACCAGGTCCAGCAGACACTTGGTTTAAGCTGCATGTCCCAGTGAGTGCAAAAGCGTTCAAGACAAGAGAAAGCCACCGGGACTTCCGAAGCGGTGCGGCTGAACCACTGGAAACTGTCAGCCCAATTCATTAGCGAGGCACTCACGCCTTCCACATGAGCCATGACATGGAAAACGTAATTCACAAATATAAAAGCGATGGCCGACAGGGCGTCGCCTTGGGGAAAACCGGTGGTAGTGCACCTGCCGACCCCGATGCCGCCACACACGCGAAACAAACGGATCGTGGAACGGAAGTGGTCCATCCACGCATGAACAAAACCAGCGGGGACACCAAGCTGGATGCACAAGTAACTGACCAAGGCACGAGGGATTCTGTCAAAGAACTTGATCACGTCAGCGGTGCCCCCTCCAGAACGACCCCATCGACCGAGGCAGCCTCGAGCTCGAATGCCACTTCAAGGAAGCAGTCCGCCGGCTCCTGCCCAGGGACACCGCCTTTGATCCCAGGTGGTAAGAAACGTGCGCGAGACCAAACGAGCAGCTTGCGTGCAGCAGCACTCGACCAGGCTCTGTAAACGACACTAAACACGGCAATTGGGCGAAGGTCCGCCGCAGTGGTCGCTGGCTCACGCTTTGGGATCAAGGAAATGCAACACAGAAGCAACAATCTCAGCCACTGGCATCTCTGAGTGAACATGGCGAACAAATCAAGCAAAACTTCCAAGAACGCATCCGGCAAGATATCAAACTCTCTAATACGCCAACCACAAGCTGAAACGGAAGTGCGGGCATACATCCGCCTGCAAGCTCCACGGAGCTCGGCAACCGAGAGGTTAAGATCAAGGCCGTCATGCTGCTGAATGTTGGCGTCGATGAACGCGCGAGCAAGACTCCAATCCTCGTCGCCGGAATGGCGAATGTGGATTGGGTGCCATTGAACCCAAATTTCGTCATCGATCTGCTGCGGTTCAGTGAACCACGCCCCATCGGCAGCCTGGAGCATGGAACCCATGGCGCTGGTAGGGGGCTGGGTGGCCTTCCAACACATCCAGCCAGCATCGGACTCGTCCTCTGCAAGGGCTTTATGGTACTGCCG